TCAATGACATTTTTAAATGAAAGTTAAATTCTGACAAATCATTACTGAATATTACATATTATTATTGAAATATTAGATGTTTTATAAAAATTAATAAATTTATTTAAACACATGTTTACATTATTCTGACTAATTGTTGGAAATTATTTCGTTAACTAACAGTAATTACACATTAATATAATCAAGAATTTAAATGCTTTACATATAAGACTCATCACCACATGAGATGTGTGGGCCATCACCAGCCATAATGACCACACTTTTTGGTGTCCCTAAGACGCAACCGATTGGCGGCCACTTCGTGGGGCATCTCAACGGTATCGACGCCGGGATAGAAAGGTTTGGGTTCGTCGGGTTCGCGGAACCGCTCCTTCGCCTCCAAATCCCAGTAGTCTTCGCGCTCTGAGTGAGCGACCACTTCATAGCCGGCGTCGAACTCCTTGTGAGCCAACGCCCGGAAGCGGCGCCGATATCGCAACTCTTCCAACCGCTCGATGCGATCGGACACCACTTTGAAGCGCTGTCTCGTCAACTTCCTCTGTCGCCACTCCCGCTGCTGTCCCACGACTGCCAGCCTTTCGTAATACTCTTTGGTGTTTGGGTCCAACTCGTGAACGGGTGGCGGATAATTGAGTCTTAGCGACCAAATCCATTCGGGATACTCTTCGTCCGGCTTGAGTGGGATCTCTTCGCCCTCTTTCATGTAATTGGCTCCACAGCAGTGGTTCACCAGTTTGTCGGCGTCCGTCTCCACCGGCAATCGGAACCGTCTTTGACCGATAGGTTGGGCGCCGGAACTGACGGGTGGGGCCGCCGCCAGACTTCGGACCAATATTCGCTGTGGAGGACAACGTTTGGCCACATTATAGCCCAATAGACATGTTTTGTATGGTTTTGATAGACAAGCGAAGGCTTTCGTTAACGACATATCGTTTTCAATGCATTTAAATGTCAAACAATTAACAAATGGTTTGCCTTTGAATGCAATTCAAGACTTGATTTACAATTGAGTCAACAAAACATGTTTTGAAAATGTTTACAATAATTGCAACTCTTATATAGCGTTACGATAAACAACACCACAAATAGAACCCTATATTATCACAAAACCATTGTTTCAAATGTTAGGCAAACCCCTCACACTTCAAGCCTCCACCCCCTCAACAATTTGTAACGCTATTTGTGAGTAAAACACGCAAAGTGTGGTCACATGTGTCTCATGTGTTGACAATTGAAACGAAGCCAACCATCGATTGAAAGGATGTCCGCAATCAAGACGTTTCACCGAAAGACGAAGAAGGGATCCGTTGTGAAAGTGGTTCGCGAACACTATCTCCGCGAAGACATCCATTGCGGCCGCGAGTCGTGCGCCGACTGCCAGCCATTCAAACAGTCTTCGGACAGTCCTTTCGCGCCGAAGGCCTACTTGAGTGACAGTCCGCGGGTCGGCGTCAGTGCAGTCACACCACTCGCCCACTATGTGGTGCCCGACTTCGGTGTGGTCTACAGCCAACTCGATGTCATAATCGACCCGTACTTCGGCTGCGATATAATACTGATGCAAACGGTTTGGGATGAGATCAAGAGAAACATCACTGTCTTCTCGCNGGGATGAGATCAAGAGAAACATCACTGTCTTCTCGCAGATCAAGCAAGTGATGGCCGAAAAGCGGTTTTACGTTTTCCTCAATGAATACAATAAAAACACGTTTAGTGAACGCGTTTTCGGCGAATCCATCGCCGAATATAAGCAACGGTTAGTGGTTTCGGCCGCGGAATGGCTTCAATCGCATCTCAAAGACATTCAATTGGTTTTAATCGTTAACTCAAATGAAATGAAGTTAAAGTCAGAGTCGATTCAATGCTTTCCTATCGATAAATACGTGAAGAGTCTTAAAGATAGCGTCAATTTAGTGGACAAATTGGCCGATATGTCCACCACTGGAGAGTACGCCAAAGATATCAAACTGATCTTTGATGAACACTTGGGTTTAGATGCGATCCAATCGGGGATCAAATCGGGGACATATTTTCAGGGAAAGTATTATACGAATCGATTAAACTATTTGGAGGGCTTTGTTATGATTGCGCGTAATGGCGAAGAACTCAATGTCTTAATACAGGGAAGCCTTCGTATCAATCGTGCCATTAGTGACGACATCGTCGCCATTGAATTGTTGCCCGAAAGCGAGTGGACATCGAAATCAGATGTTGTTTTAGAGGTGAACGAAGATTTGGAAGATAACGGAGACAATCGTGAAGATAGGGAAGAGAGCGTTATCTTCAAGAAGGAGGACACCTCTACGAAGACGCCGATGGGTCGAGTGGTGGGCATAATCAAGAGAAATTGGAGACAGTATTGCGGTGTTCTTCATGAGCGCAATGAGAATTTGAACACATCTTCGGTGTCCAGTCGTCACCTAGTTATTCCGTTTGACCGGAAAATCCCGTTTATTCGGATTGAAACGCGTCAATACGAGCACTTGGAGCGCATGAAAATTGTGGTGGCGATCGACTCGTGGCCGCGGGATTCCAAGTATCCAAAAGGACATTACGTGCGGTGTGTGGGCGCCGCCGGAACCAAAGAGACCGAGACTGAAGTGATTCTTCTGGAGAACGACATCCCGCACATGGAGTTCTCCAACGATGTTATGAAATGTTTGCCAAAAGAGGGCCGCGAATGGAAAGTATCTGAAGAGGATCTCGTGAATCGAACCGATTTGCGAGGCGAAGCCATTTGTTCGGTGGATCCGCCCGGTTGTACAGACATCGATGACGCTCTCCATTGCAAAGACATCGGTAACGGTCTCTTTGAAATCGGTGTTCACATCGCAGATGTCTCTCATTTTATTAAACCGAAGACAGCTCTGGACAGAGAGGCGGCCGACAGGGGAACCAGTGTTTATTTGGTCAAACATCGCATTGATATGATTCCCACTCTCTTGAGTTCGGACTTGTGTTCACTGCGCGAAGACGTGGATCGGCTGACGTTTAGTGTCATTTGGACGCTCGACGCCAAGACCGCTGAGATAAAGACCACAAAGTTTGTGAAGTCAGTGATCAGATCGCGAGCTTCTCTGACCTACAGGGAGGCGCAGAATCGGATCGATTCGCCGCATATGAACGATGATGTGAGCCGTGGTTTGCGCGGACTCTTGCAAATATCCAAAATCCTGAACCGTAAGCGCATAGAAGGCGGAGCTCTAGTCCTCGCGAGCGCTAATGAGATTAGGTTCGTCGACACGGATTCCGAAACGCATGAGAACCCGAATCCTGAGGATCAGAATCCTGAGAAAGGGCTTAAGATTGAGGCCAAACAGATCTATGAGACGAACTCAATGATTGAAGAGTTCATGTTATTGGCCAACATATCGGTGGCCAATAGGATATATGAAGAGTTTCCGAGTTTATCGCTATTACGCCGTCACCCGAAGCCGAGTTCGTCCAACTTCGAGGAGCTGTTGGGTTGCGCCAAAAGCAAGGGATATAATATGGATGTATCGACCGGTAAATCACTGGCGGAAAGTCTTAACAAAGCCATTGATCCGGAAAATCCATTTATGAACTTAATGTTCCGAATGGTTACCACCAGATGTATGACTCAAGCGCTGTATTTCTGTAGCGGTTCGCTGGCCGGCGACACAGAGGAATTTGGCCACTATGGTTTAGCGACGCCTATATATACACACTTTACGTCTCCCATCAGACGATACGCCGATCTTATGGTTCACCGATTGCTAAGTCATGTGATTGAATACGAGGCCATCGATGCCTCACTTCTAAACCAGAAGAAAATGCACGAACTCTGCGAACAAATCAATTTCCGCAACAAAATGGCCCGACAGGCGAGCCGTTCCTCTAATGAACTGCATTCCCATCTGATTATCAAAGACCACACCTCAAGTGGTGAACCCTTAGAAGAAGAGGGATATATCATATATGTTAAGAAGAATGCACTTCAGATATTTATACCACATTTGGCCCTCGAATTGACCTATTTCTTAGAGCCCAAAGAGGACTGGATCTACAATGAGTTTGAGTTAACGCAACAGTATTTGCCGTTGAAATACACAATCAAACTGTTTGATAAGTTAAAGGTTCGCTTATCTGTCAATGAAAACGCGTTGTCTCTCAGAAGTAAACTCGTCATTGAATTAATTGAACCGTTTTGTGTCGAAAAGCAACCAAAAGAGAAGTCTAATAAGAAGTTAAAGAAAGTTTAATTACAGTTACCATTGCTTTGAATAAAATCATATAATGAATGTTATAAAACGATTCATACAATCAAATGCTAATAAATTTTATTTCACATTCGTTTCGCGCGTT